CCCCAAATTGGCCCACCCGGGGTCAATCATGACGTCCAGCGTTGTCCACGACGGCGGTGACTTGTTGAAATAAAACATTTAAAAAATAAATAATAATAATACGATGCATGCTGACCCGACCGCACCCGTCAAAAAACTCCCGACGCAGAATGAAGAATTTGACAGATGCTGGCAAAATATAAACAATTGGGTGGAGCTAGCGGTGACATCACCACTAGCTCCACCCAACTGTTTACTATTGGCCAGCACCTGCCAGAGTCTTCTAGCAGGTCTCGGGCAAAAAAAAAACTGGGTGGAGCTGGCAGGATGTCGACCGGCTCCTCCCAGTTGTTATCTAATGACAAATCAGCATGCCCAGGTCATTTGGGGACACTGAGCTGTCATTACAACTGGGCTGAGCGAACCGTGTGATCCCGGCTGGCTCCGACTAGCGATGAGCCGAACATCCCCGAACAACGGCCGAAAAGTTCGAATACGAACTCGAACCTAATGCAAGTCAATGGGGGTCGTACGTTCGAAAATGGTTGTCCCCTTTTAAGAGTGCTTATATGCAAGTTATTGGCCATAAAAGGTGTAATGGGGTCAGGGTACTGCTCTGGGGGACAGTTATCAATGAAAAAAGAAACAACAAAAAAAGTTTTTAAAGGAACAGTGATCTTAACATCACCTAAAGGGTAAGAATAAAAATGAAAAATTCCTTCAAATATTGTGCCTGGGGGGTCTCCTTAACCTGCCTTGCGAGTGGCGGATCTGTAGGATTTATAGAACCTGCTGCAGCAAAACTGACATTTCTAAAAAAAAAGTTTTTTTTTTTAACTCTTAAAGTGTGCAGTTCCCCCCTCCCAAACAATACCAGACCCTTCAGGTCTGGTAGAAATGTTAGGAAGGATCATAAAAAAAACGGTTCCTCCTAAAGGTCATACCATACCCTTAAGGTCTGGTAGAAGTATTTAGGAAGGGACCATGTGTAAAAAAAAAAAAGTGTTCGGGGTTCCCCCTCAAAGTCATACTAGGCCCTTAAGGTCTGGTAGGAATAGTGAGGAAGGACCCCCCTGGAAAGGGGGGGGACAAGCGAGCACCCCCCCTCCCTCCCACATCCACCCACATGCCCTCGGCACTGGGAGGGTGTCCCCGTGCCGATGGGGACATGGGCCTCGTCCCCTCGTCTGCGGGCAAGGTGGCTTATTTGCATCGGGGTACCCCCAGATGCCGCCCCCATCCCCTGTGAATGAGTAAGGGGTACTTGTACCCCTACCCAGTCACTAAAGGGTTAAATCAAATAGTTATTAAAAAGTCCAGACTTTTGATAAAATCCTTTAATTGAAAAAAAAACAAAACACATGTTTTTGACAAGTCTTTTATTAAAAAAAACACCAAAAATGGATCCACTGATGTAATCCAGGGTCAATCACGGCGTCCATCGTTGTCCACGACGACGGAATATTAAAAAAATAAATAGAAATAATAATAAAAACAGAACAGACCGCGAACATCCCATAGTAGCGCTTGAACAGCCAATGTTCGATTCGAACTCGTGTTCGAATCGAACCGGCGGGCCATCCCTAGCTCCGACCTTTCTCATGCTTTGGCTGTCACTATGGCTACTACAGTCACTAGGGCTCAGCTCCCCATCTGAACAGAGAACAGACCAGGAAGTTTGAGCTAAGTAAATAACAGTCTGCATGAAAGCAGAAAAAAAAGTCCAGTCTGGTGATTGATGGAGCCATTTCAGCTGAGGCTGAGACTGAGGCAGCTTTGTTTTAAAGAAGAATAGATACAGTTGTGAGACAAATAGCCAGGAGGCTGATAGACATTTGTGCCCATTGTTATGTTAAACAACTCCTGTGTGGGCAGAGCACTGTGATACTATGGGAAGTGATATGTTGGGAACTGGAAATATATAGCATAACCTAATTCTTAAAAATGAAAATGTGTGATTAACTGAACCTCCAGGTAAAGTAGGGTATACCCGGGTAGATTTTCACATGGACGTTCCTACGAAAAATCCTGTCAAAGCGTTTGATAATACCATCAGAGGCTTAGTGATTGTCATTTAAAATTTCATTTGTTTTTCATTTTTATTTAACATTCAATATTGGAATGAAAAGGGGTTTTCCGAACGAAAACCACATTCACCGTTCAATTTTCGTTTGAAAATGTCCAACATGGTGCTTTGAATTTTTTTCATCACTACAGTCAAAATCGATAACCGGTTTCACCGCATCAATGATTGGAAAGTTGAATGAATGTTCCAAAATCTATTTCGATCATTCAAAATTCTAACCGTGTATACCCAACTTAACGTGTACGATGCATAATGAGATGCTATACGACAAAAGGAACAAGCATGAAAGCAAACACTTCAATACACTTTAACATGTATGCATACCCAATGTCATTAGTTAATTATCTCCTTACTGATAACTATGACATATGAAGTTAATACCTCTGTATTGTTATAATATATACCTCTGTCCAGTCTCAAAACCTCTGATCGTCAATTATGTGACAAATGTCATTATGCTTCTATATGCAATGTTACCTATTAAGAATAAAAAAAGGTAAAATATGTACAGTGCAATTAAAAGTAGGGATGCACCGATATATCGCCCACCGAAACATATCGGCCGAAAATGGCACTTTTGTCAAAATGTCAAAAGTGCAATTTTCTGGCCGATATTATTATTATTACATAGTATTTATATAGCGCCAACAGTTTGTGCAGAGCTTTACAATGTAAGGAAGACATTACAATTACAATACAATTCAAGACAGGATGGTAAGGAGGGCCCTGCCCCTGAGAGCTTACAGTCTGAAAGAGGAGGGGGAAATGATACATGAGGAGGTAGCTGTGTGGGGATGATAGAATATAGCGGTGCATCCGTTCTTTCTCCCCTCCCCGCTGGGCGCTGCTCTGTGTCTCTGCGCTGTGAGCGTCCGGCGTCTCTCCTTCCCGCATCGCTCAGCCTCCTGTCACAGATCAGGAGAACAGTGTGGACGGAGACAGCCAACGCTGTCACAGCAGGCTGAGCTCTGCTCGCTCAGCCTGCTGTGACAGCTGTCAGGAAAGAGAGCGGTACAAACACTCAGTGATCAGTGATCACTGAGTGTTTGTAAATGAGAACATAGTATGTTTACTATATACTCAATTATGAATGAATGGGAAGTGATCTACATCACCTCCTGTTCAATCATGATTGCGGATATAGTAAACATACTATGTCCTCAAGTTATGAATTAACAGGAGCACTCAGTATAGAGGATTCCTGTTCATTTATAACTGGTTGCATAAAAAGAGATTGAGGGCACAGAGTCCTCCAATCTCTTTTAGGCCCTGGTGCGTCCGCACCGCCTGCACCGGCGGTAGTTCCGCCACTGGATCTAGCCCTAGCTTCGGACGATTCAGCCGAGCCGAATGCCGCTCAGCGGCATTTGGCTATTCAATCACTGCTGTTCGGCATCATCGAGTTGCCTGCCGGATGTTCGGCTTAGCCGATCAATATGTTGGATCGGCTGAGTCGAACTCCTCCTGCACTTCGGGTCGGCCGAACATGCTGAGCATGTTCTGCATACCCGAAGCCACGTGAAGCCACCCAATGTACGGCTGATATCAGCCATACCAGCCTGAAGTGAATAGCCGAACAGCGTTCAACTCACTTTGCTTTATGTTGGTCATTCACTCGGCTGCCTACGGCAGCTTAGTGAATAGACCCCATAGTGTGAACTAGACATATATATATACTAACAGGAACTTCGTCTGAATCATCAGAAATAAAATAAAGGCATCATTAAAACTGCTGTGACATAGAAAATGTTATCATGATATTTTTTGTGGACTGCATGCTTTCAGTTTCATGTACACTATTGTTTTTATATGTACTGCTCATATACTGTACCGGCAGCCATTTGCTATAATAGCAGGGGATTATCTCCCTCCATACTTCCTGGAATTTTTTTTACCACTCCCCATGATGATGTGATGGAAGATCCTGTGCCCGCACACTCAGCATTACCCAGGAATTTTCTTGTTTGCTTGGAAGGAAATCTCAAGAATAAAAAAAGATGCCTGAAGACTCCAGTGATATACTGTATAACTGATATCCCATAAGTCTGCAGGCAGTACAGGCTACATCATTCTAACCTAAGTGAAAAAGGCAGATGTGCAGGGATATGAACAGCAGAAAGGGTATTTATAGAAAAGGAAAAAAAAAAGAAATATTATGCAACTATGTTAGAGGGGATAAAAAGTAGGATTAAAGAATGTGCAAAAAAGATGGTGAATGTCCGCTTTACCAAGCATACAATGCAAACCGAATGTCATGGAAGCACCCAGTTTTAAATGTTTCTTTGTAAAATAAAGGTGGTATACAAATATTTAGAATGATAAAAAAAGTACCAGTTTAAATAAACTCTAAAAAAATACTAAATACATTTGAGAGAAAACCAGTTGAGGAAGGCACATAGCACTTCATACATGTACACAAAATGAAAGATATATAAAATAAAGCAAATAACAGTTGTTATTTCTGCAGATTTCTGCATTCTACAGATGCATATTACAGCCATGTCAACAAACTAATGGATATTGGAATGACTGAAATGTACTGTATATTTGATTGTCTGCTACACATATATATTTAAATGTCTAGAGATCAGGGAACTAATACAATGAACAGATGCTCGATCCAGTTTTTACATATTTACCTATCTATATTCTAGTGTAATAATGTAATCCTGCAAATGTACTGCATAGTTTCCAAATTACACATTTCTGCTTTGGTTTCAGAAAGTTGGTTGTGACAAAATTATTGGCTCAACCAAAAGAGAAGATAAGTGTGGAGTGTGTGGTGGTGATAACTCACACTGCAAAATTGTAAAAGGAACTTTCACAAGAACACCCAAGAAACAAGGTAAACTAATAGAGGGATGTTTGCAATTTTGGTGTTTTGAAAAGCACAAAAAATATGTCTTTTAAATGTCAATATCATACAAATAAACTAAGACATTGGCACAATATGGTGGGTGATTTAATTTGAGAAAATATAATCTACTTATTTATTTCTGATTTTATGTTTTTGCAAACATAGTATTGTGGAGTACTAGCCTCCAATAACTTAAAACTCTAAATGAAACAAGGAATGTCTGTGTCATTTAATAAGTGACAAATATCTTTATATATTTAGTTATTTATGGGTTTTTCTAAAATATCACAGCTTTGTTTTCATTAACACGCAGGCCCGGCGCTACCGCAAGGCAAGTCAGGCGGCCGCCTTACGGCGCTGCAGGGTGAGGGCGGAAAAAACATGACATTTTGACAAGTACTTGTCAAAATGCCCCGATATTTGCGCTATGTTTTTTTTTTTGTCACTTACCTTCGGTGCGGGTCTCCCACTGGACCAGCGCTGACCTGCCGCTGCTCTCCCGCACCGAAGGTAAGTGAAAAAAAATACATAGCGCAAACATCGGGGCATTTTGACAAGTACAAGTACTTGTCAAAATGCCCTGTTTTTACAGGGGGTCGGGGAGGGGGGCGCAAAAATGCACCTTGCCTGTGTAGGCACGAATCCTAGCACCGAATCCTAGTTAACACGTCATCCGACGAAACAACATTTTTTATTGTAAATCGCAGTGTTGTACCTTGTTAGCCATAGATGGAAGCAGAATGTTTGGGTTAATAATATATTTTATATGTTTACTGTGTAGACAGAAAAGGTAAGGTGGGATTGAAACTTCTGCGTTGTGATAATGTGTGTAACAGGTTACTATGTTGTGGTGCCATTCATTTTGGTTACAGGAGCCATAAAGCAGAACTAACCTTTGTGGGGAGGAGCACAGGAGTTCTTGCCATAATAAGCAAGTTTCATGCTTGCTGCAATCGTCATCACCTCTGCAGCTTCATCTGCTTCTGATGTCCTCTCCCTTCAGCCATTGGGAGGCCAGTGATCATGTAACTCCGACATATGTGCTAAAGTTATATTATCCTGGCACCCGGTTTCATTATCTGCATCATACAGATGCCAAAAGTGGACAGAGAGAAGTACATTACACTGCACATACTCCACAAGCAGTGTACATACATACACACACAAAAAAAATGCTACAAGATGCTAAAAGATTTACTTTAGGCAGAAGACATAATATCTTCTACCAAAAACCTCTACCACCTTGCAATTTTTTTAGACTTTGGTTATACTTTAAACAGCCCTAGCCCTAATATCTGTCATACTGCTGCTTGTTTAGCACATACTGTATAAACGGATCAGCTGTAACATTATGATCACTGAGAGGTGAAGTGAATAACATTGGTTATCTCGTTACAGTGGCACCTGGAAGAGGGTAGCACATATTAGGCAGTAAGTCAACATTTTGTCCCTGAAATTGAGTGTTGGAAGCAGAATAAAAAGGGCAAGCACAGTGGTTTAAGCAACTTTGACAAGGACCAAATTGTGATGGCAAGACGACTGGATCAATGCAAGTTCAAAACTGCAGTTCTTTTGTGATTTCCCAGTCTGCAGTGGTCAGGACCTACCAAAAGTGGTCCAAGGAACTGGACCACAGAGCAATGGAAGAAGGTGGCCTAGTCTGATACATCAAGTTTTTATTTACATCATGTGGATGGCCAGGTGTTTGTGTTGCTTACCTGGATGCACTATGGGAACCAGGATGCACTATGGTAAAAGGGCAATCCGGCGGAGGCAGTGTGATGCTTGAGGCAATGTTCTTCAGGGAAACTTTGGGTCCTGCCATTCATGTGGATGTTACTTTGAAACGTACCACCTACCTGAAAATTGTTGCTAACCAAGTAGACCCCTTTGTGGAACCAGTATTATCTGATGGCAGTGGCCTCTTTCAGCAGGATAATGTGCCCTGCCACACTGCAAAAATGGTTCAAGAATGGTTTGAGGAACACAAAAATTAGTTGGAGGCATTGACTTGGCCTCCAAATCCTTCATATCTCAATCCAATCGAGCATCTGTGGGATGTGCTGAAAAAACAAATATTCATGGAGGACCCACCTCGCAAATTACCAGTCTTACTTGCTTAAATAGATCCAGGTGTTTTAAAACCTTGAGCTGTTAAATATAGTTTGGTCAGTTACCTTATTAAAGGCCAATATGTATATCAGATTCAATTCAATACCTACATTTATATGAAATCATGCCTGGCTAATATGCACAGGCCTGACAAATATTCCTACCTGTTGGACCTGAATGAATGCTCTCCAAAGAGTTTTCCACTGAGAATGTTTAAGTTTAGTGTTATCCTGGCCTTGTTAGAACATTCATAGGTGCCCTTACAGAGAAGCTAATGCAAAAAAATATGAATAATTCCTGTGTGTATACACTGTGTGGCCAGATTATTATGACCACCCCATCAGTACTTCATTGGGCCACGAGATGACCTCGTTGGGCCGCCTTGTGACTCCACAAGATGTTGAAAGGTGATGCGAGGATTCTTACACTGCCCTGTTGCCCTTCTGTTGTCTTGTACCAGTCTTGCCACTCTCCGTTCTGCCCTAACATTGACTAGTCGCTGACGGCCACAATTCGCACGTTCAGACCCAGATTTTCGGCTGACAGTCCAGTCTTTAAACACTTTAACAACAGCTGTTCTTGAAAATTTAACAAATTCTGCTGTTTTGCTGATACTCGCTCCATGGCTCAGAGCGCCAACAATCATCCCACGTTCAAAGGCTGTTAAATCGCGTTGTTTACTCATATCTTCAGAAAAAAATCACTTCTACTGTCGTGGTAAACAACCTGCTTCCCTATTTATAATGGTCTGGCCCTCAAACAACTTCAGCTCGAAATTATAGCCAATTTGCGTACAAACGTCAGGTGGTCATAATAATCTGGCCACTCAGTGTATATGTACTGTATATGTGCATGTAACAAGTGGATCCTGATTAGACACACCGGGCAGGGCAATAACACTTCCCATTTACTAAATTAACATAGAATAAAAGTGATATTAAAGTTAAAATGTTTTTCAAGTATTTCAAATGGTGATTAAAATAGCTTACAATGGGTGCTGCTCCTTGATGTTGAAAGGTTTTAGGTTTGTGCAGAATCAGCTGGTCTGCTGAGCAATGGCCCTGATTTCCTGTTTTAGGATGGTTCCTTTCCCTTGCACGGTCCTGTGGTGCCACCCTTGTGCAAGCTAGTAAGCTGTGTGGGTCTGCACAAACACACAGGCACAGCAAGGCAAGCCACTCCTACCCCAATCCCCTTCTCCTCTTTTCTTCCTCCTACAAGCTAGTAGATGTACAGCTTCTGGAGAATGTGCTGTCCCTTGTGATCTTGTACTGGACAGGAAGTTCAGGGAACCTGACCTTAGAGAATTGGAGCCAGCTGTTCATAAATATGATGACTAAGTGCTTGTGCAAAAATGTAAAGAAATACTTATGGCCAATTTATATTTGTTTGATCTGGATTAATTATTGAAAAAAAATGAGCATTTAATACTACTTTAACCAGTTGCCATCCGCCCGTTGCAAAAAAACAGACGGACGGCACAATCGCATTGGCGGGTTGCCGTCTTAAGACAGCATTTTTTTCTGCTTGTGCGCGCCCCCTAGCGCGCGCACGGGCAGAAAAAAAACCATCCAATGTAAAGAGCCGTTACCCTCACCTTCAACCCCGGGATCCGCTGCCCCATCTCTGCAGATCTCTGCTTCATCAGCTTCTTTTGGGGTCCCCAGGGACATTAGGGGTCTTAGACACCTAATGTCGCCATAAAGAGGACCTGTCAGTGTACCTTTGCTATTATATAGGGGGATTGTTATCCTGACGCAATGACATTAAGTGTAAAAAAACATAAAAAAAGAGTTAAAAAAAAAAGTCACATATAAAAAAAGTTACAAAAAAAACCCCAAAATGTTTAAGTTCTCCACCCCCACGTTTACACACATATACAAACGTAAATACGCGCTACACACGTTACATATCGCCGCGAACGTCGCAGTGAGAGCAATCATTTTAGGGCCATCAATCACTGATAACACTAAACTGATGAGCGGTAAAAGCTTTTAAAGCGTCGTCTATGGCCAATTTTGGGTATTATAGTTTTTTGAGGCTTCGCACGCGCATGCAATTTAAGGCTTGACATGTTTGGTGTCTTTTTACCCGACGTGACCCCATCTTTTATATTTTACCAAAAAAATGGGTAATAATTAGGGATGCACAGATACTTTTCGAGTACCAGTGCAGATACTTGGCATTTTCATGAGAACTACCAGAGTTGCAGCGGTTGCAGCTGTTACCTGGCTCTGGCACTCCACCACTGTCCTGAAATCATTAGTCTGTATTGTTTTAGAAAAACTGTCACATGGCAATAAACAAAAATGTATCAGTACTCGTACTTGTAAATACTCGGCAAGTACCAGTACTCGCAAAACTGGTATCTGTGCATCCCTTTATTTATATCTATAAAAACAAAATCACACATTAAAACAGAGATGTACAAATCCCAGGAGCTCCGTGTGCTCCTTACAAATGACAGCTGCCTCCTAATTTTTGAATTTTTCTCTAGTCTAGTCTTGGAGCTCAAAAGTATCGGTACATGTACTCGTACTTGTACCAAGTACTGTACTTGGTATCTGTGCAACCCTAGTAATAATAAATGTTTTATCATTTAATATAGGGGAAACATTTTTTTTTTTTTTTTAAATTCGGTAATTTTTCCTTAATATAGTAAAAAATAAAAACCGCAGTGGTGATTAAATACCACCAAAAGAAAGCTCTATTTGTCCCTAAAAAATGGTATAAAATTAATTTCAGTACAGCGTTGCATGACAAAATAAATGTCAAAGTATTGCAGCGCTGAATACTGAAAAATGGCCTGATGGGAAGGGGGTTTAAACACTGCGGACTTCAACTGGTTAAAAAAGACCCTTTGATCCTCATATCAG